GTTTGTTATTTTGATTCATTTCAAACCATGTCCATTTGAAATGATTCCGTTCACCACAACACAGACATCGGCTCAACCAATGGTCTTGGGGGGCGGGACTATCAGTTTTATGCAACCAACCAATCCAATTGCAGATGGGGGAGTGTCTGGGAAACTTGTTTGAAAATAGTAATTTTGCATCCATAAACATAATTTAACAGTAAGAGATAAAAGAAAACAAATATGGCAAGTATGTTTTGCACGTCTTTTTGATTTTATTTGTTTATTTATTTATTTATTTTGCATATGTTTGAGAGTACCTTGTGTTGAAATTATTTATTGCGGGGAAAAAAACTGAATTAAGCTGATTTGTTTTCTTCTAATTCTAATATAAAAAAAACTAGGCTAAATATTACAGATAGTATTTTATCTATAGATAATATTTATTGATAATTCTTTTATTAATTTGACTAATTCTGCTAAATGTGTTGTAACATTTACATCATACTAAGAGATTGTAAAAAGAAAGAAAAAAAATAAAAGTATGTTTAGTGAGCCACTTTCACCCGTAAATCCTTTTTCACTTTAAAAAAAAATAAAATAAAAAAAATAAAAAAAATCTCTTATTCGGGCAACTGAAACAGGCAAAATATTATAAATTAATTTAGATTTAGTGACAATATAAAAGCCAATTATATATTTCTGGAAATGTGACATCTTTACTATATCATATTATATTTTTTTACACTGTATACAAGGGATATGTATGGGATATGTATTTTTCACATAGTGTGCGCGCACACACACACACACACATATAATATATGTGTGTGTACTGTATATATTTATTATGTATATATATAAATACACACACATACAGTATCTATTTTGAAAATATTTCCATGTATTTCCAAGTATATATTTATATTCATATATATAAATATTTTAAATGTATAAACATAACATTTTTCTTAAATATATACATGCATACATAATAAATATACACAGTATACACACATATTATGTAAACAAAAGCTTTTATGTTGGATGTGATTAATCGCGATTAATCGTTTGACAGCACTAATATATAAAGTATGTACTGTCATGTCATCCAGCCTTAATAGTTATTTAGGGAAAGCCTGAACCAGCCTACTTGTTTCATTAATATTATTAATATTGCTGTGCTGTTCACTCACAATGCACATTCTCAGCACAAAGCGAGTGCCCATATCTCGGTCTCTGTTCCCAGCTGTGGTAAGTCAAGTGATCTTGCAGGACTGGCTTTTGGCTCAGATCCATGTGTATGTTTCACTGCCTGGGACCTCAGCCTCCTGCTCAGGGTGCAGGGTGAAGGAGAAACTATCACACTCTCCTTGTCAGCTGCAAGGGTAATTACTGCTGGCTGAAATTACTCAACATTTGTTTATTAGTTCCCCAGAGCACCCTGTAAATAGATTGTCCGTTACAGTCCGATCGCATTAGAGACCGCGTAGCCCCCCAGCCTCCTGTTGGCTGTGCGTCTGCTTCCTCACAGAGCGAGCCGTGTTCCAGCAGAGCGTTCTCCATTAGCGACGCTGTGCTATGGCTAAAGCCACACTATACCCGATGTAATTGCTGAATTCTGTCACATAGCCTCAGCTTCATTACCAGCGCCGAGGGGATAAAGCAGAGGAGCAGAGACATCAAAAAAGCACTACATTTGCACTTCCTAAAGGAAGTTTGGAGAAGTTTTAGGAAGTTTAGGTTTCAGGGTTTTTTTTCAGTTATAAACTAATATCACTTGTTTGATGTCAGATGCACAGAAGAATCAACATATAGTCACTATGCAGTGTAAAGGTGGCAATATGGCAATAAATGGTTAAATATATGCCAAAAAGAAGACCAATTACAATTCAATAGGCAAATATTATGATTTCATCACTGTTAGTTGCATTTATAAACCTGAACATTCTATCAGTGGAAGTCAAATTAAAATTTTTGAATGTTTGTAAAAAAACATATATATACTGTATATATATATATATATATATATATATATATATATATATATATATATATATATATATATATATATAGCTGTTAAATTGATAAGAAATGAATAAAATTAGTCATTGTTTCATTAAGCATTACATTGCATTATTTTGATGGATTATAATATATATATAATGCTAAATCTACTTTAGCATTATTAATTATTCATTTTAATCAATTAAATTTGTAGTGCTGCCGTTACAGCTAAAACTGATCCTAATCTGTGCTAGAAATATGAAAACTAAAAAAATACATACAAGAATTTTTTTATGAACTAGTTGACCTCAGAAGTAGGTTTGTTAAGCATTTCCAAATTAATTACATTATTAATTAAACAGCAAAAAATCTGTCTATATATGCACATATACATTCCTAATCAATATATATATATATATATATATATATATATATATATATATATAGAGAGAGAGAGAGAGAGAGAGATTTTTGCTGTTAAATTAATAATACAATATATGCATTTATATTAGTTAAGCACTAGATAAACTAGCTGACCACAAAATCTTGTTTAATATTAATAATGCAATATATGTATTTCTACTAGTCAACCTCACTGACTTGTCAATTGCTGGATGACTAGATGACCGTCATGACTCAATACTAATCAGTACAGTGCTGCTTTGCAACCACTACAAAAAATAAAATAAAATAAATAAATCTACTTGAAGGGACTTTTTCATTAAAAACTCTTCTTCTCAAACCTTGTCAATATACAGCCTCATTGGCAGTTACACAAAGGCGAGGTTAAAATATGTCAGTCGTTCTCAACATATAAATTCTCCCTGCTTTGTGGTGTTTTATTGTGGTTATTTTCTGCATGCTGCCCACCATCGAGTGGACGTCTTATTGGCAGAGGCCTTGTATTTGTGTATTCTGTGCTGGGAGGATGAGGCGAGCCAAGGTCTGTCCCTGTATTCATCGTGTTGGATGGTTCCTGTCAGAGATGACATTCTGAAACACTTGACCCACAAAAATGAATTCTCGGCCAGAGCCCAGTGACAGCGACGGGCAATTCATTCTCCTAAAATGTGAGAAGATAAAAAGGAGGAGAATGCAATAGCGCTGTCAAAGGGGGAGAGAGCAAAGCCAGGGAGTAAATCTATGTTTGAGAATGTGAAAACCATACATAAAAAGTGTTTTACAGGGAAATGGCTTTAGTTTAGGAGACTGTCTGATATGACTCACGCTTTGATCAAGAAGGCAGGCCGATAACACAGGCTTATGGAAAAAAGCTGCACTCTAAAACACTGCTTCTCACCTGGTTTTACAACAGAGCAAAAAACACAAAAGTAAAGAAATAGTAAGGTCACCATATTAAACATACCATATATTGCACAGACAAAATAACAAGCAAAATAATAACCGGCACTCTCAAAAATAAGCATTTTTAATGGCATCGATGGTTCCATAAATAACCATAAACCTTTAACATCCATGGAATCTGTTCAGTGCACAAAAGGTTTGTTTTTCTTTAATCGTAGAAATAGATCCTTTACTAAATGTTCTTCACACTAAGAAAAATGGTTCTCTTAAGAACTGTTCACTAAAAAAGGTTCACTGCAGAAATGGTTCTTCTCTCCCAGCTAACAGGGAACGTTCTCCGAATGTTCATTTAGTCACATTAATAGAATGTTCATTCAGAGTTATCTGGTCTAATGTTCTCAAAACATTAGCACAAACATGTTTTTATAGCTATACCTTTATATGTTGTTCATAGAATATATCTTTTTCTGAAACGTTTTGTTTGGATGTTTGTCTAACATTTTTTAAATGTTACTAATTGTTTCTGAATGTTCTGAGAACATTCAAAAGTAACGTTCCCATAATGTTTACAAAGTGATAAAATGGAAAGTTCACAGAAAAAAATGTAACATTTCAAAACTGGAAGTTTTGAACATTCAGAGAACATTCAAAAAAGAATGTTTTCATAACTTAATGGGAATGTTAACAAAACGTTCTTAGAACATATTTTTGTTACCTGGGCGCACATTAAAATGACCAGTTTTGTGCTAATGTTTTGAGAACATTATAAAAGACCAAGCAAACATTCTTCCTGTAACATTAATAGAACGTTTGTTCAAAATGATCCGGTCTTTAATAATGTTCTCAAAACATTAGCACAAAAATATTATTTATACATCGTTCTTGGAGCATTTTTTCCAAAACACTTTAGTTGGACATTCATCTTTAACATATTTAAACCTTACTACATTCTACTTGTTTCAGAACGTTTACAGAACATTTAAAAGTAACAGTTTCATAATGTTTGCAAAATGATCAAATGGAACATTTCACATTTTGAACATTATTTAGAAATAACATTTTCAGAACTTAATGGGAACGTTAGAAAACATTCTCAGAACATATGTTTGTTAGCTGGATATCATTGCTGCGAAAAGCCCTTTTGAAACAACTATGATTATTTGGCCATTTGCATTATATTATTTATATTAGCATTGTTTTTAGCACTGTGGTCATTTCTGGGTGGAGACGCAGCAGTCGAGAAGCGGCGCTGTGAAGTGTGGTGCTGTTGGTGATGGGTTGTGTCCACCTCTGTGGACGTTCCACTAATAAAAAGCCATCTTTCCATTCCTCTGCCTCCAGCGCTGGCCTAATAACAGCCTGTGTGCAAATAAGGCCCTCGAGCCGCCGGACATCCATCATGTCCCTCCTGAGTCACATTACAGCACCCTAATGGCCACTCTGTGTGTGCTTATGATATAAATTTTTAGTGTTTTCTGAAGAGCTTTAATCAGTAATGTGACATTGTTTCACCGCTGTGGAGACTCCTCGGCCATATTGCTTTACCACATGGAGTCACTATATCACCTCTTCTCATCTTGTCTCGTCTCTTCTCGCTCCTCTATTCTTCTCGTCTCTTCTCTTCTCTTCTCTTCTCTTCTCTTCTCTTCTCTTCTCTTCTCTTCTCTTCTCTTCTCTTCTCTTCTCGCTCTTCTCTTCTCGTCTCGTCTCGTCTCTTCTCTTCTCTTCTCGCTCTTCTCTGTTCTTCTCGTCTCTTCTCTTCTCGTCTCGTCTCGTCTCTTCTCTTCTCGCTCTTCTCTATTCTTCTCGTCTCTTCTCTTCTCGTCTCGTCTCGCTCTTCTCTATTCTTCTTGTCTCGTCTCTTCTCTTCTCGATTCTTCTAGTCTCTTCTCGTCTCATCTCGTCTCGTCTCTTCTCTTCTCGTCTCTTCTCGCTCTTCTCTATTCTTCTCTTCTCTTCTCTTCTCTTCTCTTCTCACTCTTCTCGCTCTTCTCTATTCTTCTCTTCTCTTCTTGTCTCTTCTCTCTCTTCTCTATTCTTCTCGTCATTTCTCTTCTCGTCTCTTCACGCTCTTCTCGCTCTTCTCGTCTCTTCTCTTCTCGTTTCTTCTAGTCTCTTCTCGTCTCTTCTCTTCTCTTCTCTTCTCTTCTCTTCTCGTCTCTTCCCTTCTCTTCTAGTCTTGTCTGTTCTCTTCTCTTCTCTTCTCATCTCATCTCATCTCTTCTAGTCTCTTCTCTTCTCTTCTCGTCTCGTCTCGTCTCTTCTCTTCTCCTCTCTCTCTTCTCTTCTTTTCTCTTCTCTTCTCGTATCGTCTCTTCTCTTCTCTTCTTGTCTCTTCTCTTCTCTCTCTTCTCTATTCTTCTCGTCATTTCTCTTCTCTTCTCGCTCTTCTCACTCTTCTCTATTCTTCTTGTCTCTTCTCTTCTCTTCTTGTCTCTTCTCGTCTCATCTCTTCTCGCTCTTCTCGTCTCTTCTCTTCTCGTTTCTTCTAGTCTCTTCTCGTCTCGTCTCTTCTCGTTTCTTCTAGTCTCGTCTCGTCTCGTCTGGTCTCTTCTCTTATCTTCTCTTCTCTTCTCTTCTCTTCTCTTCTCTTCTCTTCTCTTCTCTTCTCTTCTCTTCTCTTCTCGTCTCTTCCCTTCTCTTCTAGTCTTGTCTGTTCTCTTCTCTTCTCTTCTCATCTCATCTCTTCTAGTCTCTTCTCTTCTCTTCTCGTCTCTTCTCTTCTCCTCTCTCTCTTCTCTTCTTTTCTCTTCTCTTCTCTTCTCGTCTCTTCTCTTCTCTCTCTTCTCTATTCTTCTCGTCATTTCTCTTCTCTTCTCGTCTCGTCTCTTCTTTTCTCTTCTCTTCTCTTCTCTTCTCTTCTCTTCTCTTCTCTTCTCTTCTCTTCTCTTCTCTTCTCTTCTCTTCTCTTCTCTTCTCTTCTCTTCTCTTCTCATCTCTTCTCTTCTCTTCTTGTCTCTTCTCTATTCTTCTAGTCATTTCTCTTCTCATCTCGTCTCTTCTCGTCTCTTCTCTTCTCTTTTCTTCTCTTCTCGTTTCTTCTAGTCTCTTCTCGTCTTGTCTCGTCTCTTCTCTTCTCGTCTCTTCTCTACTCTTCTAATCTCTTCTCTTCTCATCTCGTCTCTTCTCGTCTCTTCCCTTCTCCTCTAGTATCGTCTGTTCTCTTCTCTTCTCTTCTCTTCTCTTCTCTTCTCGTCTCATCTCATCTCATCTCATCTCATCTCATCTCATCTCATCTCTTCTCTTCTCTCTCTTCTATTCTCTTCTCGTATCGTCTCTTCTCTTCTAGTCTCTTCTCTTCTCTTCTCTTCTCGTCTCGTCTCTTTTAGTCTCATCTCTTATCTTCTCTTCTAGTCTCTTCTCTTATCTTCTCTTCTCTTCTCTTCTTGTCTCATCTCTTCTCGTCTCATCTCTTCTCTTATCTTCTCTTCTAGTCTCTTCTCTTCTAATCTTTTCTCGTCTCATCTCTTCTCTTCTAGTCTCTTCTCTTCTCTCGTCTTGTCTCTTCTAGTCTCTTCTCGCTCTTCTCTTCTCATCTCTTCTCTTCTTATTTTTACTTCTTGTCTTTTCTCCCTATTTTTCCATTCCCTTTTACATTTTAATGCTCTTTTCTCATTATTTCTCCTGTTCTCTCATTTCTTTTCTCTCCTGTTTTCTACTTTCTCTTCTCCTTTTCATTATTTCTCAATTTTTTCTCCTCATTTTTTCAAAGTCCTCCTTTTTTCTCCTTATTTCTCCATTCCCTTTCACCTCAAATGCTCTTTTCCCCCCAATTTCTCCTCTTTTGTTCCGTTTCTCCTCATTTCTCTGCTTATTTCTCCTTGTTTATCCTCTTGTTTTTCTTCTCACTTTTCTTAATTTCTCATTTTCTCTTCACTCACTTTCACCTTTTTGATGCTCTTTTCTCCTTATTTCTCCTCTCCTCTCCTCTTTTCTCTGCTCATTTCTCTTCTTTTCCTCTCTCCTTATTTCTCCTCTTCTTAATTTCTCCTTTTTTTCTCTTAATTTCTCAGCTCCATTTCACATCTTTGATACTCTTTTATTTCTACTATTCTCTCATTTTCCCTCTTCTCTGCTCTTTTCTCCTCAATTCTCCTCACCTCTCATTATGTATTTTCACCTCTTTTTTCTGCAATTTCTCATTTTTTCTCCTCATTTCTCCACTCCTTTCTACATTTTAACACCTTTTTGTCCTTATTTTTCCTGTTCTTTTCTAATTTCTCTTGTTCTCTGCTCATTTCTCCTTTCTTCTCTTTTTTACAAATTTGTCATATTCTCCCCTCATTTCTCCTGATGCTCTTTTCTCCTGTTCTCACCCTGCTCCTAATTTCTCGTCTTATCTTTTCTCCTCTTTTTTCCTATTTCTGTGCACAGAGGCTGTGTTTCGAGTCGTGCCAGCTCTCAGCTCATGTGACCAGATCAACAGATGGCCGGCTACACTCGGGGTCTGAGGAACACGCTAGTACGCAAACACTAGATGTCATTTTGCATTTTTAAATACACGTCACATCCCCCCACCTGCAGAATGTCAGAGTCTGATAGCATCAGCCGGCGGCGCAGCTCCCTGTAATAGATTTATTTTAAAATGCCTCCCGCAAAGAGCACATGGGGAAAACAAGATGAATCGGCCAGATAGTCTGCAGATAAACCAGGTCTTTTAAGTGCTTAAGTTAGTCAGTTCATCTTTCACTACACATCATCTTGTCTCGATTCAGCATTCAAATGTGAATTTATATTTTTAGGTCAAGCTTCAGGAACGTGTTTTTATTCAGGTTTTATGGCACGGGAGGATGTTGATGGATCTAATCTTTAACCATGATAAGGAAGATTTCAAACACAAAGTTTTTACAGGAAAAAAAATACTTTTTTTATGCCAGTCAGTATTTCACATCACTTCTCTCACCAGTTTGCACAAAAACCTTCTTTTTACCAACTGACCTCTCTCATTTTATCAACTCAAGAAATGTATCTTTAAAAATTCTTTGAATGTCTCACATCTATCCGGTTGTCTTTGCATTTAAACGTACAGGTCGTCTTCACAGCGCACGCTTGCGAAACCTGCCAACGTATCAGCCTGTTTTGACAAGCCTCAGTTGTTTAAGTATTTTGCCGATCATATAGATCACACGCTTTTTTGTGGATCGCAGCACCTTAAATCCTCAGCTGAGAATTCAAATCATCCGTGCAATCGCACGGCGACACCGCTCACTCAAAAAAACGAGGGAGGCAAAAAGTGGAGGGGCAGAGACAGAAACGCATTTAAAATGCAAGAAAACTCTCCTGCGCTGTTCTCAGGGCTTGAGGATTTGGAGGACGGGGGCGGCAGAGGGCTACGAAAGAACAGCCGTCACTCTCCGTGTGCAATTTCATTCATCTAACGAGGCTCTGGAAGCACGCGGGAGAGGAGCGGGGCGATGATAATTGCCTTTAAAGACTGAGGAAGAGAGAAGAGAGGAGCGCAGATAAAAGATACGCACCAAAGAGCACATTAGGATATGGGAGGGGTTGGCAAAACCGCAGAGGCTTCTGGTATAAATAGTCATGAAATAAGAAGTTTCTGCCAAGGATTGAAGTGAAGACATTTTCTCGGAGGGGCCAGCAGGCCACACCAAATAATCCTTGACTTAGTGTCCCATTCTGAATCCCATATTAGCTACAGAGATTTAAATGTAAATATGCCATTAGGCTGTCATTACAGTGATCAAACTGTGCGCGGCACAGGTCAGGCCCAGCCACTGTTAATTTTGCAGGCAAAAGCTTTTTTTTCCCTCCTCTCTTGAAATGTTAATAACTTTCTATTAGTTAATGTACCGTGACTAAAATTCAAATTAGACATAATTTATTTTAATATCTGTGACTAGCTAGCCTGACCATTTAGCAATGGTCTGCAAAAGAATACACGATTGTAAATCGGACTAATTTGCATTGGACGGTTTTAGCACGCCTCGTCTCCCGCTTTTTCGCCGTTGTGATGAATCATCTCTGATCCTTGAGGTACAACTGTTCTTTAGTGAATATTGCCAACCGTCACATTTAATATACGTCTTTATGAATGCGCGTCGGGTGGGGGGGGTCGGAACTGGAAAATTACCCAGAGGACGCCAGACTATTATGTTAAAATGATATCATTTCATATTTGCACTGGAATACGGTCCTAAATTACAAGACTGAAATGTTACAATGTTGAAGCTGGTCTCGCTACTTTGTCTCAGGTTTTCTGAATAAGTATATTTTTTTGCTCATATTTTGGCAAACACTGTAAAAACATGTTTGTTTTTTTTGAAGTTCAGTGGAGTACATTTGACAAGAAAATACGATTTTATTCAATGAAATGAAAATTGTTTCCATGAGTGAAAATTGTTTCAAAAGTAAATCCTACACCAATTTTTTGAGTGTAGTTATGAAATACAGTTTAACAACTATAGACTGTAGAAAAGTGAACGAAATGAACATAAACAAAAAAGAATTCATTTAAAGATGAGGCACCAATTCCAAATTCCAAAAAAAAAGTGGCCCCGCCCCCAAACAGACAGTATTGGTTGAGTCACTGTTGCTATGTTGGCTTGGTTAGAATGATAACAAACAAGCAGATCAGTGTTTTCATAGCACCTCAGAAACCAAAAAATACACATTTCACCTTTAAATAATCAAATCTACTACTCAGTGGACTGGAGTTCAATATGTCCCACTACTTTGAAATACATATTTTGGTATAGCTATGAATTATACAGTAGTTTAAAACAAATTGACTGGAGAAAACATAAAATTTATGAAATTTACATATAAAAGATGAAAAATGAAAAAATAAAACCGGTTTCCAGAACACTCACCCTTTCTGCTACTGCTAAGAAAAACTGGTAGCTCCGCCCCCAAACGGACGCCATTGGTTGAGTCATTGTTGCTGTGTTGGGCTGGTTAGAATGATAACAGTCATAAAGTCCCACTATTTTAAAATACATTTGATATTTTAATACAGACATAGTTTGCTCAGATCTTGGTGCTGATATTGATATTTAGTGTTGTTGATGCAACTCCTGACAGAAAGAAATAAATGAGAGAAAAAGAGTGAGAAAACATGGGCCAAGAAGAGGCCAACTGATTGGAAACAGCTGGGGAAAAAGAGGGAGGCCGCCCACTTTAGAAAATCTGGGTGACCTCCGCTGGCATGTGAAAGTGCATCTCTTCAGCTGCCAAACCCAAAGTATGCTAAGAGGAACCCTTGGGCCGTGGCGCAGGATGATACCAACGGCCCTCCTGTGATAGATGACAGGGAGCAGATGACGTCCCATCTACATTAAAGATGCCATCACAACTTTCACTAACATTTTTAAAAGTCATATAACTTTTATATTATTTGATATACATTTACATAACATTGAGAGAAAATGTCCTTAGAACAACGTTCTCATGATGTTATTTGTGCTTACTGAACATTCTAAGAAATGTTACCTTTTTGTAACCTTTTACTTGACATTTGAACATTCTTAGAATATCTAAAATAAACATTCAAATAACGCTATATTTTGGGTAAAAATGAAATTAGTAGAATTTTGTAAGAGACTTAAAAAATGTAAAAACTGGAAATGTAAATAAAAAAAAAAGTTAACTTTTTTTTTTTTTAAATGTCCATAGAAACAATGTTTTCATAACTTAATGGAAACATTAAGAAAATGTTCTTAGGACATATTTTTGTTAGCTTTGTAATAGCACCATGCTATGTCTGAAATGTTTTTTTCTCTCTACCTCTTAATGTCTAAAAATATAACGGTAGTTTTAAAATTAACCTCTTCAAATTCTTTAATATGTTCCTCTGACCTAATCAAGATCCATTAAACAGATATTATTGAAGCTTTAACCCTCTGTTGTAAACAACTGTGAATTTTTCAGATGAACTTGTATACAATATACTGTAGTAACTGTTCTTTTTGGGGTCAAGCTCAAGAAAAGCAGTGCAAAAAAAATACAATAAATGCAAACTGGCAGAAGAAGAA